ACGCGCCACTCGGCCAGCCCAGATTTGCACTTTCTAAGTCCACTATGAGATGAATGCCTGGAAGCAACGGCCTGGATGAGAAAGAATCCCAAAGCTAGGCTTTTCATACATCTGGAGGGCTGGGCATTTTTTCAATGGACCAAGCCGAACAAGAGCTGAGGGTACACTGCAGGGGCAGAGAGGACATAAAAGCTCTTTTGGGGTCAGTGGGAGGAGTTTGGAGGTACACACAGAGGAGAGAAGAAAGGGGATTGAATTATAGGCAAGCATCTTGGCTCTGTCCCCCTCCAATGTTTAGAATCCTAGGGAGGGATAGGAAATAGAAGGCCCCTCCCCGGGGACATTTAAAGATCTCAGGGCAGAAAGGACATGGATCCCACTGCCACCTATATCTGAGAGCCTGAGATAGTGGCCCTGTGTCCTCTGGGCCCAGGTGGTGTGGAGGGACCCAGTCGTTCCTGTGTGATCCCCAGTGATGGGCACAGAAGGTGGCTTAGAGCGCTGGCTTGGGAGCACGCCCAGGGTCTCTGGTGAACTGCCCAGGCCGAGGATCAAGTGGGAGAAACAGCTAGACCTCAGGGGATGGACAGCACCTCCAAAGGCCAAGATAGCAGCCAGGGAAGGGGAAGAAATGGCTGAGTTCTGGGGAGCAACCACCATGCCCATGTCAAGAGAGTGGCCCCTGGGTCACCAGCTGTGGACTCCTGAGCAGAGGCTGATGAGCCACACCTAGGGTGCAGCTGTCAGAGGGATCCAGTGGAAGCCCCAGGACAGCACTGGGGCCCCAAACCCCTCCCCCTATTATATGATACAGCCTTCCTCCTAGTCCCAAGTACCCCTCCCCCCCATAGAGAAGGAAGAGGAGAATGGGAGAAACCCTGCAAGGTGTGGGCAGGATGTTTTCCTGCTCTCAGCAGGTCATCCCGGCTCTCCTGTGGCTTTTGCTGCCACCCTGAAGGACAACCCCAGTCTCGATGATGACGGGCTGTGTGCTCAGAGGGAGTCCCTTCGGCTGAGGCCAGCCCTGATTCTCACCTCTTCTTCCTCTCCCGGAGGGCCTGCTGAACCTCTCTATCGAACACGGTTTTCTCCTCCTCTGTCAAGGCCTCATATTCTTCCTCATCCATATTTTGGAGACGCTCCTTTTCTTTCTCAAGCATTTCCCTGCGTTTGTGCTCTGTGGGGGGAACAGAGACAGGAAGGTGAGGAAAAGTTGCTCACAGCTTTGGCTGCAGGTTCCCCTATGGCTCAGCTCTCAGCCTGAACAGGCTTCGGGGGTCTGTGACAGTGAGAGGTGGCTGGTGTGGCAGCAGCATTCCTAATCTCTGGTGGGACTTCCCTCATTCACACAGTTCTGAAATTGGCCTCCATCTGTTTCCTGTCTCCAGGCTGAAGAGTGAGCCCAAGTGTGTCCATGTCCTAATCCCTAGACCCTGTGAATATGTTACCTTACGTGGCAGGAAGGATTTTGCAGGTGTGATTAAGTTAAGGGCCTTGAGTTGGAGAGATTTTCCTGGATTATCTGAGTGGTCCCAATATAATTATAATCACCAAGGGCCATAGTCAGAGAAGGTGACATGAGGTCAGAGGGCTGTGAGGTAGGGGCCATGAGCCACGGAGGCAGGCAGCCTCTGGAAAGTGGAAAAAGTAAGGAAATGGGTTCCCCACTAGAGCTTCCAAAGGAACGTAGCCCTGCTGACACCTGATTTGAGAACTTCTGACCTCCAGAGCTGTAAGATAATAAACCAGTGCTGTTTCAGGTCACCAAGTTTGCAGGAATTTGTTGCAGCAGTGATAGGAAAGTAATATGCCACCTACGGACTTTACCATCATGAGCATATGCCACCAAAGAGCTCAGGGTGACACAGCCATTTGCAGACCAAAGGGATCACCTTCCGCACGCTGCAGAGTCCGGGTCCACACTCAGCACAAAGGCACTTGGTTTCTTTTCCACACTTTCCACACCTCACGGGGACAACATCCTCACCTATGCTCTCGTTTTAGCTTTGGGCTCAGAGATCAGCCTTTTGAGTCCTTTCTCTGACGTTTACCAAGGGATAGTAACAGATAAGAATAATAATTCCTCCTTCCTTGGGCTGTTGTGGGGATCAAACAAGCAATCATGTAAAGCACCTAGCCCAGTCCCTGGCACACTCATAAAAGTTCAATAAAAATTAGATTTTAGGGGCAGCCGGTTAGCTCAGGTGGTTAGAGCACAGGCTCATAACACCAAGGTTGCCAGTTTGATTCCCACATGGATCAGTGAGCTGCACCCTCCACAACTAGATTGAAAACAATGACTTAACTTGGAGCTGATGGGTCCTGGAAAAACACACTGTCCCCCAATAAAGTTAAAAAATTAAAAAAAATAGATTTTAATATAATAATATTGTTACAGTATGTTGTCTCAGGGCTTTTTCGAATGTAGATGATTGAGAGGAGGGGAGTCCATATGCAACCATGAAAAACTTCAATCTACAGATAATTGAGAAAATTTCTTTCAAGTTGATTATTATGGGGAGATGAGCTTTCTGGAAAACTAGGAACTTGGAGGTTGAAATATTGCTGGGAGATGCCTGGTTGTTTTTTCTAATTACTTTTCTCTGAATGAGAATATAAGGAGTATTTGAATTCTGCTTAAGAACTAAGGGAGCTCGGTGTTTATAAATATTTCCTTCAACGGAAAAACATTATAATTTGTGTAGACTGCTCCAGAAATGAGGAAGGGCAGTGACATGGATGGAGATGAGGACACAGCAGGGCTCTGCCTCCCAGAGACAATGTCACCTCCTCCCTTGGGGTCAAAATTTTCTAGGTCTGCTTCTAATTCTAACTAAATTGGGAACTTATTGCGTTAACATTCCTCTCTCTCTGTGTGTGTGTGTGTGTGTGTGTGTGTGTGTGTGTATTATTTATTAATCAGTGATTTTTTTTCCAGGCCACTGGTGTAATGGTGGAAAAAGCAAAGGCTTTAGAGTTACACAGACCTTAGTGATTTGCTATGTGATCTTACACAAGCCTTTCGATATCTCTGAGCCTCATTTTCCCATCTGCCAAATGGAGATCACATGCCATTTAAAGACACCTAAAGTATACAAAAGGTCTGCTGCAGTGCCTGGTACACAGTAGGCTAAAATGTAGAAGCTGTTTTATAAAGTTTAGCAGCACCTTTAGTTTTATAGGAAAGGCACAGTTGGCTTCAACAAAACCAACAAGCTAATCAGTCACCTGAATCAAGACAGGACCTGTGATGTGTTTCCATCAGGTTAGTGGTAATTACAGAGGAGGTGAATGTGAATACTCTGATACTGGGGGAAAGAGGGATGTGTCTGTTGTCAGAAGAGCTGAGTTCTGTACAGATTACAGATTCATTCTGTAATCTCCCAACAGGTTCCTTCTATCTCAATATCCTCACATGCAAATAAGAACTTCCAGCCACCTCACGGGGCAGACACGGGGCACCAATGAGATGGCAAGTATAATAGTTTCATTTAAGCCCAATGGGTTATCCTGGCAGGGAGGCATTTAAGAAAGCCTAACGCTCTGTTTAGCGGAAAGGCCTGCTAGGGCCCATGGAGGCCAGTCCAGGAGGGTTCGGGGCCTTGCTTGCCTTCCAGCTCCTTTTTGGCTTTCTCCTGGGCCTTCATGGCTGCGTAATCCTGAGCCATGTTGAGAACGTAGATGTGCTCCCGGTTGCCGATGGCCTTCAGCAGGCACAGGAGGCCAATGGCTCCATTCCGAGCAAAGAGCGTCTCGAGGCTATCGAACACCACCCCTCGGTAGCAATCACTCAGCTGAAACCAGAAAGAGCAAAGGCAGTTACCATGGCCACAGGCCATCTGTTCTCTACAAAGTTGCTTTTGTGGGTGCTTTTTACGAGTGCTGCAGTTGGTTCTACAGACCTACTGGGCCTTGATGGAAATACCATTGAACTGCCTGCTAAATTCAAGGTGCTGGTGTGAAACAAAAGAGAAAAATAAAAATATTTTATCAGTCATGGAAGATCTTTATCACACACAGCTGTAGAAAAACAAGGGTTTATTCTGTCTCTATAGAAATAAGGAAAACAAGCTAACTGTTCAAGTGAGGGTTTGGAAAGATCCATGAGATCTGGGGAAGGAGGATGCAGAGGAAAGATGTCCCCACGCACAGAGTAAAAGGCAGCAAGGACGGTAGTGGCAGATGGGTCATTTTTATCTTTCTTAGTGGGATTACTGCCTTGGAGTGTAACAATTTTGGTCACATGAACCACTGATGAGCAGCCTCTGCTATGCTGCAGTGTGACCCAAAGTGTAGCATAGACGGGTCCCCACTGGCCAAAAACTGGTTATGACCAGAGTTTGGTGAGACAAGAATTTTGTGTCAGAGCATGAATCAAATGCATCTCTAAATACAGCATTTCATTTGGCTGCTATTTCTTTTTCTTTGTAGCAAGGCTTTGTTGATGCAGGAAGCAGTGTGAGCTCCATAGCTCATCGAAGACCAGTACTTTGAGTAGCACCGCTCTACTAGCTGACTCTGGGCTGTACCAGTGGTTCTCTGCCTTTAATCTCACTGCACGAAACATCTGCACACTTCCTAGACCACCTTGCTCCAATCAGTTGAGAATGACAATATCTGTAACACAGCAGCAGTCCGAACCTTAACATGAATCACTTCTGGTGATGATATTCCTCCTCTTTGGGGAAACTCAAGTCTGATTTTGATGTATTTAAATGTGCAATGAATATTGTGGCCCAGTCTGCAAAACCAAAGCAGACACAGAGCACTGGGACCTGGTGAGCAATTTAGCTTTCTGTAAACCATATGCAGCAAACAGGCTTAAGTAGTACCCTTCCAAATCCTACTGATTTTGTTTTCTTTAACTGTGTAACACTGACAAAAATTAAAATAGCTTCTGACTTTAAAAGCAATATGTAACTACAAGGCCACAGTAATCAAAACAATATGGTATTGGCATAAAAATAGGCATATAGATCAATGGAACAGAATAGAAAGCCCAGAAGTAAATCCAG